CTTTATCCATGATATTTGATCAATCAATGGAAGGTGTATGACTCGTAGGTTTCAAGATGGGTCCCATTTTGGTGTATCGTACCTTTCATTTCAAGGTTTTTTTACTTCTTTGTAGGGGGTAGCTTTTCAATGCAAAGGCTTCTTCTATAGAGTTTGATCCATCCATGGAAAAGGTTCACCTCGTAGGTTTCAAGGTGGGTTCCATGTGGCAGCGACGTTGCTGCATAGGCGTAATAAGGCTTTGCATGGCGGAGGCACTGATACATAGGCAAATGAAGCCTTACATGGCGGAGGCACTAATGTATAGGCGAGATGAGGCCTTGGATGGCGAAAGCCCTGATGCATAGGTAAGATGGCTCCTTGCATGGCGGATGCGCTGATGCATAGGCGAGATGAAACCTTGCATGGCGGATGCGCTAAGGTATTGGCAAGATGAACGCTTGCATGGTGGTAACACTGATGCATAGATGAGATAGAGCCGTGCATGGCGAAAGCCTTTATACATAGTCGAGATGAGGCCTTGCATTGCAGTGGCTTATATGCATAGGCGAGATGAAGCCTTTACACTATAGAAAATGGAAGTTGTAGCATTGGAGTCTCGTACTCCATGGATGAAACCTCTGAAAGTAGATGAAATGTTTGTCCAGAGACGAAGTCCCAAGTTTAGGGGATGAGGTATCTTAATTCATCAAATTCGATCCCTAGTTCTGTGTCTTTATTTTTCAGGTACGACCCTTTTTTCAAAGGTTGTTCCACTTATAACCGTTTTTTTATAGACCTTCCATTTCTCGAGGATTGTCGTGGTCATGGTCTCTTCTTCATAGGCTTCCTATTCTTCAGTGGTTATTCCATTCATGATCGCTTTTTTCGCAGGCATCCCCTTTACATGGATTCTTCTATTTATGACTCCTTATTTAGGGACCTTCCATTTTCAAGGGTTCTTCCATTTATGGCCTATTGTTTAGAGGCCTCTCCTTTACAGGGATTATAGCCTCTTCTTCATAGGCCTTTCTTTTATAGGTATTGTTCCACTTATGATCTCTTTTTTTCATAGGCCTCCCCTTTACAGGGGTACTTCTATTTTAAGGCATCTTCTTCAATGGTCTCTCCTCTTTAGAGGCCTCCTTGTATTAACGACCTCTTCTTCAGAGGCCTATTTTCAGGAATTGTGCGTATTCCATTGAATATGGAGGATGAGTTGTTGCATAAGGGCATTTTGCTAGGTGATGTTCCTCATACTGATGACCATTTCTTCCACCTATCATGTGGGGTATGCGTCAACCTTTCCACCTCAACGATGCATGTAGCGAGGTCAGCAATGGGTGAATTTGATCAGGAGAACCTCTTTTTCAAGGACCTCTCTTGACCTCCTTGGGTGTCGATCTTCATCTCTAGAACTCTTGTGGGTGGACGCTTCATTCAAATAGGAGGTCTCTTGACTGGATTTTAACATCAAAATACTCATTTTTCAAGGAGTGTGACCACCCAAGATTCTGAATTGAACTTCAAATCTTCTATCTTGTTTTTTATTCGAGAACAAAGCATTTCTTCAAGTGGGAAATTGAAGCATTTTTTCGGTAGCTTTTTCCACGAAGATGCTTGTGGTTATAGTGTGGTTTCTCATATACGACACCAATCCGTTGACCTCATTTTTTGTAGGGATGACATAGCCAACATATCTCAGGTCCTCACATCTACATAACTCCTCCTACATACTAGGACAAAATCGTTAGAGCACATGGCTAATCTCTGGTCGTGGGGGAGGTGATCGTGCATACTCCAACGGTCAAGTCAGCCTTTGCAAGAATATTATTTGGATATGGAATGTGTTTAAGATATGAGCCACTTAAATAAAAGGGGTTCGAATTTGGGGATTATATATGAAGGAGGAGAGAGAGAGATATATATATAGCAGAATTATAGTTTAAGAGTCCAAACTAGTAATACATTTGAATGTTTATCAAAAAAAAAAAAAAAAGTAATACATTTGAATGACATAATGTGCAAACTTTTATAGTAGAAGGGAATTAGTAAGAACTGTTGGATGAAGAGACACGTGGCCTCATCCTAGCAGCTGAGCACCTTGTCGTAAGCGTCAATTGGTCACTCCTAAGCTCAAGAGCATTTAATGTTATGACATTTTACAGCCATAGGCCCGACATATAGGGTTAGACTTGATATGTTGACTTAGTAAATTGTTGTTGCAGTGTATTGTCATATTAATCATAAATGGAAGATCCTGTAGGGAGATACTCTACTTGCCTCATTCATAGGGCTCGGTCATTCATATGAGTTCAGCCCTACCACATGGGTTCGACCTCTCTATAGGGGCTAACTTCTTCATGGGGTTCGGCCAAAATGTCAAATGGATAGAATGACATAGAGTGCGAGCCTAAGTTCGCTTACTGTGTGATTGTCATGTGGCCATGTAGAGCCTCGCGGGAAGAGGCGTAACGAATTTTTCACCTTAAATTTTGTTTAAAATGTTGACTTATTTTAAAAGTAATTCTATGGTAATTGACTAATGAGTTGAAAACAGATAGTCCTAATGTTCAAGTAATTAATTACCCAAGTAAATAATATTTTTATACTTAGATTAAAAAATTAGAACGTGTAAAATGATTTCGTCATTGAAAAAAATCATAAAATAAGTAGTTGATTCAATTATCTTAAAGTTAATTATGTCCCTACATATTTATTCAAGCAGCAACTTGCAAATGGAAATGACAAGGATGATGACCCAACTGCTAAACTAATACAATCTGGCTGATTAAATTAAATAAGGGCCATTTGGCATCCCTAATCACATCTACACATCGACAGCACATCCTGGCTCTATCCTCTTATCCACCACACCAAACTAAAATTAATGCTAAAATGATATGATTTGAGAAATTTGCTAATTTCTCTTAATTTTGACTTACTTATGAGGCTTTTGTTAATTGGTCGAAATCGATTACTACTTGTTTTGTGCTTTTGGGATGAAGCTCAAGCTTAGAGTCCATTGAGAAAGAAAAGTGATGTATGGGTCCTAATGCGTACGTGGAAGGTTGGAACCCTACAATGCGATACGGAGTTAAAGAAATGGGGAAGATTGAAGAGGACCTAAAAAAATTCGCTCAAGTGAAAAAAAGAAGAAGTTGCGTAGAGGGTTGGGCAATTCTGAGAGGAAAAGCACAAATATAAAATCAAGACCTAGAGTTTTGAAGAACGAGAAGAGAGAGAGAGAACCGATTCTTTTTTTTTCATCATCATCCCTTCGTACATCACCAAAAAGATTGCTGTCATATGGTATGTGTTAAAAAAAAAGGGGGACAATTTTTGCACCAAATATTCGTTGTTACCAGTATTCTAAAAGGAGTAATGTGTAGCAATGCGTGAAGGTCAAACTCAGTGCTAGACGAGGCATATGCGTAAAAAAGTGTAAAAAGACGTTTTCTTATTTTAATATTATTTTAATTTTTAATCAATTAAAAATAATACTTACTAAACATTTAAAACAGATTTATAGGAACTTTATACATTTTTTCAAAGTTTCCAACAAAAATATAAGTTTCACATTTGAGAAAGAAAAGTGATGTATGGGTCTTAATGCGTACGTGGAAGGTTGGAGATGAAGAGATAACCCTACGATGCGATACGGAGTTAAAGAAATGGGGAAGATTGAAGAGGACCTAAAAAAATTCGCTCAAGTGAAAAAAAGAAGAAGTTGCATAGAGGGTGGGGCAATTTTGAGAGGAAAAGCACAAATATAAAATCTAGACCTAGAGTTTTGAAGAACGAGAAGAGAGAGAGAGAACCGATTCTTTTTTTTTTTCATCATCATCCCTTCGTACATCACCAAAAAGATTGCTGTCATATGGTATGTGTTAAAAAAAAAGGGGACAATTTTTGCACCAAATATTCGTTGTTATCAGTATTCTAAAAGGCGTAATGTGTGGCGATGCGTGAAGGCCAAACCCAGGGCTTGGCGAGGTATATGCGTAAAAAAGTGTAAAAAGACGTTTTCTTATTTTAGTATTATTTTAATTTTTAATCAATTAAAAATAATACTTACTAAACATTTAAAACAGATTTATAGGAACTTTATATATTTTTTCAAAATTTCCAACAAAAATATGAGTTTCAAATGTAAATACAAAATAGTAAATAAATAGCATAGGAACTTAAATTTTATCTAACTCATCATATTTGTCTTCTGATACAAAATCATCTTCGTCAGGTTCCCTTATANTATATCATTTTCCACCCCATCATAATCCTCATCATCATAACCGTAAATAAGATTCGTTTGTCACTTGACTTTTGGGTTAAAATAGTGGTTTTAATTTTAAATTAGGACAAACTGAATAAAATAGCATTTAACAATTTTTAACTTCAAAAGAATTTAAAAAAAAAAAAAATGCGCCTAATTGCGCCAAATGTGCATTAGAGGTCAACAACTGTCGTTGACCGCCAAATAAAACGCTAACCCATTAAGCTTTGACGTTTTGGCCTTACCTCATGTCAGACGCGCTTTTTAAAACACTGATTATTACACCTTCATTTATCATCCAAGATGTCAAATTTATCTAATAAAGTGACATTATTCAAGTTTTAAATAGTCATATCAACTCCAGTATTTTAAATGTCTCATCTCTAAGGTTGAGTTTATCTTTGTACCAGAACACGTGAAACCGCACAACATACCCACCCCATGTACCGCCCCCACACCACACAGCTAAACGGTACCCAGTTGTGTCCACGTATATTACGCTGCGAAGCAATTTGCAAATATTACTGTAACTTAATTCTAACATAAAATTCCAGTCTTTCACAAAAATCATATTTGAACTCAAAAGTTAACATTTTCATTAATAAACAAACTAATTAAACAATCGTTGTGTCACTGAGTCTACTTCTATTTACACACAAAAAATTCCCACTAAAAAAAAACAAAACAAAAAATATTACAGAGATTTTCTATATTCAAAATCGTGAATTTAGCTAATTCTAATTCTTCAAATGATTTCTAACTTTGCCGGCAAAGAAAGACGGGATTTTTTAGCAGGATGGGGACTTTCAACTTCATCTTCACCGGAGCCAAATCCCGGCCACAACTCCGGCAAAGCGGGTTTGTTCAGGTCGAAGTCCCGATGAGTAACAGTGGATACTACTCCTTCCGACGACATCACTGCACTACTGCTGGGGGCTCCTCCGTTGTTACTGGGTGCCCCACCTTCATAGTGGCACCTTTTGTGACCCCCCAAGGCTTGGCCGGTGGGGAAGCACTTGTGACAGATGGAGCACTCATGGACCCTCCCACTATGGTTGCTTGCATTCGTGGTGGTGGCTGAAGCAGTGATGGTGGCGGCGGAGGAGGTGGTATTGGTGGAGTGTTCATCTCCTCCACTCAGTTTCCGGTGGCTGGCCTTGTGCCCTCCCAAAGCTTGGTAAGACCCAAAAGCTCTGTTACAAACTGAACACTTATACAACAACTTCGTACCATCAGCCGTCATCATTGGTGGCGGTGGTGGAAGACGAGTTTTCTTTTGCGCCAACTGGGTTTTCTGCGCAACAGCGGCAGTATTTGTATTGGTGGGTTTTGATGTTGAACCGTAGCCGTCGCCGCCACTGCGAGCAAGCATAATAAGGCAGAGAGCCAAGTATTCTTCTTCAGTAGGTTGCTCATGGCGTTCGACGCTGCGTGGGCGCTTTGATCTCTTCCCTTTTGTCCACGGCTCGAGATAGCGGAGGGTGGTGTTATCGAACTGAAACGCCGGAGTCGGAGTAGTAGGAGAATTCAATGCTTCAAGTGCCATTACTGAACTAAAATTGGAAGCAGTTGGGGAAAATTTGAAGGAAAATTGAAATTTTTGTGTATGAAATTAAATTATTATGGGCAAAGAAGGCTGGCTATATAGCGCAAGGATTTGGAAGTTGCGTGACAAGTGAGACGGTTACTCAAGAAAAGTACAATCATTATATATGGGAAAAATTAGTTGAGGCACAAGTGGAAGGCAGTGGGCAATGAAGGGAAGCGAGTGGACTGGAGACTAAGTCTAAGTCAAAACTATTACGCGGTCTTTCTGTGTACTAAGTCGGCAAAATTTTGATATTTCTTCCATCAAACTCAAACTCAAACCCAAACTCAAACCCAACCTTTGAATCTTTAAATCTTTTCGTCTGCTTATGAAAATCAAAATTGGAAAAATTGAGAGAAGCTTCCTTGACCTCGACATGGATCACATCAATCATTCGCATAAAATCTTTATGTAGAATATCTTTTGGGAGAAGTGAATATGAAATAAAGCAATGTTTAACGTACATAATATGTTTTTACAGAAAACTTACCTACACATATTGGTGGGTCCCGCATCAATAAAAAAATGGCATAATATACACCCACCCTGCCATTGTCTCTGTCGGTAAATTTTACAGAAGAAAAATCTTCTGTACAAATGGAATTCTCCTATGAAATGTGTTCCTTTATGGTTAGGAGGTTTCCGCTTCAGTAATGTGGGTTTCAACAACTTATATACTGCTATGGTTTTAGGGTTTCTACTACTTATATAGCGTTTCGACTTTAGGGTTTCGACCACTTGCATAGTGTTACGACTTCAAAGCATCAACTACTTGCATAGTGCTTCGGCTTAAGGGCTTCGGATGAAGTGGTTGATCACCTCTATATTGTTGCTTTGCAGCATGTAGCACTTCCCTTCGGTCATGGAGCTTATGTTTACACATGGCTCATCAGGTGAGGCGTCGATTCGTCATCTTTACATATGACTTCGATTCAATTTCTGATGACACGAAGCGTGGACTTTTTGTTTGGACTTCTTCTGGAGCTTCGATTTTGAGGCATAACAATTTCGTTTCTATCAAATAGATTTAACAATTGTCACTATTTCAAAAAGTCGATAGACAGAATATGTAGGTCCAATGATCTTTGCCAATTTTTTACAATTGTGAAAGACATGGAAAGAAAAATTCTTATGAATATTAGATTTTTTGAGTTGCGAGATTTTCAAGTTATGAATCATGATAATATTTTAATTTGAGTATCAAAATCTGCGAGAGATACTTTCGATACGTTTTGTAATTTTACATAATAGAGTTGAGGCTCGGTTATCACTAGGTATTTTTTGAGAAAAAATTATCATCGAAATTACTAAAATAATATGATGTCTTCATGTAGTTTTTAAATTTTTAGTAGCGATCCGTGTTGTTGATGTTTAAATAACATCGATTTACAACTATATTATAATTTTCCATCAATTAAACTTTATTACTAATAATTGTAGTTATCTGACATAAGCCCTTTTTGGCTCCATTTTAACGAGTTTTTAGGGAAAAAAAATGTATTTTGAAATAATATTTTTTTTTTTTGGAAAATGTGTAATTAAAAAAATGAAATTTTTTAAAATTTATGCGTAATATTATTTTATTAAATAATGTGTTGTTGAATAAAAAATTAAAAATGCATGAAAATTAATAGAATCCAAACAGGGTTTAAATTGAAATATTCTACTTTACCAGAGGATATTTGATATCTTCCTTGACAGATATGTATGTTGATGGAAATAATGACTATGTTTAATACAGTTCAATGATATAATATCATGTGATATTATGTCAACTTATCCTCCGTGAAGGTGTGCAATATAAGATGACTGCACTAAATTTCACAGTCAATTTAATAATTAATATTATAATTGAAGGCAATAGTAGCCAAGTGGGAAGAACCAAGATATTTATTATTGATAGTAGGCAGTAGTAGCCAAGTGGGAAGAACAAAGATATTTATTCTTTGTTCATGTTGTAAATTGACTTTTACCGATATTTATTTTAAAGGAGTCGGCTAAATAATATTCCTACATCTATAAAGGCTGCGTTTTTGCACATTGCAAACTGGTAAACAACTGCGTTCCTAGGTTTAATTCGTCACGTTTTAGGAATCTCAAATTTGACTTTTGCACTGATCTTCACTACATTACTACTGACATGTGGATGTGTACTTTAGAACTAGAAAAATGCTATCCATCCTCATTGGGGATGCATCCTCAGTTTATGTGAATGTAAATGATTGATTAAATGATATGTGAAATTAAATGACTTTATCTATCATTTAATGCCACATAGACTGGGGATACATCTCCAGTGGGGATGAATAGCATATCTCTTAGAACTATCACAAATGTAAGGACACGTGTATGCAAAGTACTATTTCATTTGGGTGATCTCTTCGTGGTCTCTTCGTAAATTTTGACAAAACAATCAGCTTGAGGAAAGATATATAATTTCAAAGGTAAGTGAAGTTTTCGTCTTTCAATTTATTAATACCAAATGGCATAGTTAAGTGTCAAAATTTTATGGAAAAATTGCTGCATATGTTTCAAGCCTTTCATTTTGTTACAAAATACGCCTTAACCTTTAAATTTTATAATCGAGTTCCAAACCTTAACATCTACTACAAAAAAGTTCATTTGACATATTTTATCCTCTTATCCGTTACTTAACAATTAACTTAAATGTTCTGACTCAAATTGATAAATTAAATGAGGGGTAAAATAGTTAAATTACATTTTCTTCCCTAAAAATTTTAAAATAATATTCAAATTAAAAAAAATCTACAAAATGTTTGAAACTTGACCCAATAATTTATTGAATCAAGGAACCAAAGTTATGGAAGAACTTGACCTCTTAATTACAAAAAACTATCAACCTTGCCGTGGTAGCTCCGAAATCTACAAAAAATTGAATCACAACCTCGAGAAAATAAAAATCCCGATTTGACACTTGACCCAATAATTTATTGAATCAAGGAATCAAAATTATGGAAAAACCTGACCCCTTAATTACAAAAATTATGAACATTGATATGAATTTGTTGAACGCCACAAAGATGAAATATTTAATAAGATCAAAATTAAGTTGAATGAATAACAAGAAGAAAGCAAATTTCGCTTTATTAATTCTCTCAATAAAAATGTCTTCCCCTTTACAATAAAAATAATGGATCCCATAAATGTGGAACCCATAAAAACTTTATATATTTTAAAAAAATATCATAACAAGAGTTCTACAAAAAAAATGACTTTTAGAAATTTTTTTGAAAAACACGTCCAAAAAATGAACTATACTCGCATACTTATAACTAGCGCGACATCATAGAACAAAATAGTACATATGACAACATCCCGTTTTATATTATGTGACAAAATAGTTATCCAACTAGCTTCCAGTTTTGTTTTATATCCATCCAACAAGTGATATTTCATGCCAAACATGAAACTTTGTGTTCGACTTGTTAATTTCAAATTTTTGGCATCCGTAGCTTGAACAAGTAAATATATGTCATCATTGATCTTATTTATTCGTGATCTCGTCATTAGTTCCTCTTCAAGCTGAGTCGAATCTTTGTAAGTTTGTTGTCCTCTATGGATCTTATCACTTTTAAATCTATTGATTAAACAAAAGCAAAAGGCTACATGATGGCCAAAGAAGCTTCCTTTCTACATCAATAGAAACCAGCACCAGCACCATTTTGTAGGGACACCAAGGCACGAAAAATCCCATTCTCTTTATTTTCAAGAACCATCATGTAATCCATTGATTCCCTATATGCACACTCAAATCTAGGGTTTGAGACATTCAAATTCATTCACTCAGAATTCTCTGCTTTAGGTAGGGTATTTTGAGAAGTACCAGTATTCTTTATTGAATGATTGAGGTAAGAAAGAATTCAATTGTATTGCCTTAGAGAGAAATTAAAAAGTGCATTACAAGAATTGTGTATATAAATAGAGAAAATTGAAATCAACTAACTCACTCGCTCTAACTAACTCTAACTAATTCAACTATACGAACTAATACAAAGTGAACACGTGTAATGAATTGGCTAATCTAACTGTCTATCTAATAGCTGGCTCCAATGACATTGTTTGCATGCTTTCAATGGTGAGCTCCTTCCCCTGATGAGCTGTAATGATCCTGCCGTCTACCTTTGAATTGCTCTGTTACTGTCCTTCAAAATGAAGTGTAAGGGTTGATGACACCTATCTTGGATAATAGAGGAAACAATAGAGAAGCTGGTATAACTTGTGTCAAGATATCAGCTAATTGATGATGGGAACGAACTGGTAATAACTTGACAACACCATCAGCCACCTTATCTCTAACAAAATGACAGTCAATCTCTATGTGCTTAGTACGTTCATGGAGATAGGATTTGAAGTAATGTGAATTTCCGCTTGATTGTCGCAAAATATTAATGCATGGTCTTTGTTGAAAATTTTAAAATCATGAAGCAATTGAGTTAGCTAAACTAGTTCACTAGTAGTAGATGCTAATGCACGATATTCAGCTTCACCTGAAGATTTGGATATTGTAGGTTGTTTCTTGTCTTTCCAAGAAATGAGAGAATCTCCATGAAAAACATAAAAATCGGTGATAGACCTCCTTGTATCAAGGCAAGATCCCCAATCCGCATCTGCAAATGCTCTTAATTGAAGTGAAGATTGTGCAGAAAATAAAATCCCTTGCCCTGGACTCGCTTTGATATACTACAAAAGATGATGAGCTGTGTCTAAATGTGGTTGCTTCGACTGTAACACAAATTGGCTTAATTTGGAAACAACAAATGTGATATCAGGTTTGGAGATAGTGAGGTAAAAGATGTGGCCAATTAGTCTCATGTACATGGATGCATTAGCAGTTAGTTTTCATTTAAATGAACTGAGCTTTAGTTTAGGATCCATAGGTAAATGCAATAGGTTTACATGCCAAGAATCTAGTATCCTCAAGTAATTGTAGAGTATAC